TACTGATAGGATAATGATGACACTGAAAATGTTTTACAGTCACTACCAAGGACCCAAGATAGCATAAGGTTAAAGTTTCCTACAAACAGAAAACTCATTCATTATCTTTTTGATAGCCTTTGCAGTTGTTAAAAAATTAAGAAACAAAAGCCATCTGTTAATAAAACTACCATTTTCTCTTTATATATTGCTTTCATTGGTGATATAATAATTGCATTTTGTATTTTTGGTTGGTAATGTGTTATAAAATAATTTGGTATTTCTATGCTGTCTTTTCCCTCTGTGCGGACTACTAATTTTAATTTTGCTAGGTAAATCAAAGAAATGCTTTCTCCATTTTTTTAGCTTGTTTTGACGTATGTTTGTTTGTTTTAATGTATTACTTGAAAAGAATGGAGATATTAGAGAATATAATGCCATTTTCTCTTACTGAAAGGACCCCACAAAATAAGTGGTTATTATATTTTGATTAATCAGGTCCCAATTCAGAGGAGTTGTTTTCTATGTATGGAAAAACTGTTGCATATTTGATAGTTACTATAAAAAGCCATTTGCTAAATATATTTATTTTTATTTTTCAGTTTGGATATTTTTTATTCAGGTAATTTTTTTATTCCAAAGAGAGGCAAATTTTTCACACATTTTCCAGAAATAACTTGAAGTTGGTTACATAAAAATATATATACATTGAAATTTAAGGGGGAAAAGTAGGAACAGGAAATCAAAGACCAAAGGATTTGCCAACATGGGGGCAACTTTGGTGAAATAATGAAGGTTTCCATTAGCTCTGTTCTCTCTCTCTCTCTCTCTTTTTTTAAATCCTAAGAAGTTTATTGGGCTTTCTAACAGAGCATAGGGTGGGAGTTTATTTACAGAAGAGTGTCCCCCTCCCATTTACAGCTGCGCTGGAAAGTCCACACTCTAAATATAGAAATATAGATCCTGTGAATTCCCGACAGCAGCACAAAATGTCAAGAGTGGTGCCTCATGGTGCTTGGCTTATATAGACTTAGCCCCTACCCCACATACAGCTAAGGTTGCTTGACTGGGTGGGAGGAGTAACTGACTCCTTGCCAGCCTGGGAAGAAGGCTTGACTATAGTTTGCCAGCATAGTGGTTGGAGGACACTTTCCAGCTAACACTCTACCTTCTTCCAGCTCTTACACTCTTTGGGCCAACCTCTTCTGCAAAAGTCCGTGAGCCTTGGAGGGGGCCATTGTAGCAAGGCACTGAACTTTCAGATCTCTGCATCATCTGCTTTCCATGGGCTGCTGGCCCATTTCAGTGGGATTCCATCTATTATAAGGATTTGGTACTAGGATCCACCAATGAGGGAGAACATACATCTTTTGTTTTTCTGAGTCTGTGTTACTTCACTTAGTGTAACAGCTTCTGGATCCATCCATTTACCTGCAGATTTCATTATTTCATCTTTCTTTACTGCTGAGTAGAATTCCATTGTGTAAATGTACCACATTTTCGTTAACCACTCCTCAGTTGAGGGACACTTAGGTCACTTCTATCTCTCAGCTATTGGGGAAAGAGTAGCAACAAACATGGATGTACAAGTGTCTCTGCAATAGAATGGGTCCTTTGAGTATATGCCAAGGAGTGGTATAACGTGGTCATATGGTAAGTTCATTTTTTGTCTTTTTAGAGTTCTCCACATTGCTTTCCATAGGGGTTGCACGAGTTTGCAATCCCACTAGCAGTGAATGAGCATTCCCCTTTCTCCACAACTTCAGCAGCATCTTGTGTCATTTGTTCTCTTGATCTTAATCTTAAGATAGTTCTATGTTCCATGAGTCTTAGGGGTAGAGGTTGCATCCTAGATGTGCCACTTAGGTTTGGGGAACTCACAGAGAATCTGTGTGTGTATGACCAGTGATGTAACTGTAATAATCTCTGTCTGTTGAAAAAGAAGCTACTTTAATGGGTGGTGACTGGGATAGTTGTCTGTAAATTTAAGGATCTGTGTTTTGCACATAGTAAGAAATTACATTTGTCTAGGGATATAAGAGCCTTGGGGTTTTCTCTAAAATCTGTGACCTCTCCAGCTCTGTGTATTTGGCTAGGTTTGGAGTACCAGAACCAGACATGAGTTTCCTCTGACTGAGTGGTCTTTAAGACCAATTAGGTAGTCGTTGATTACCTCCAAGATAAAAGTGCCAGTACTGCACCAACACCATTTGTTGTGTCAACTTTTAAACAATAGTTTATTGATGTACATTGTGAGAAGGCAATGAACTGGGCAGTACCAGAGTAACCTACCTTATGTTAATTTTTTAAATATCTGATTGATAAATGGGTTCAAGTCTCAGTTTTTGTGAATGCTATCTCTATTGGATGCAAATGCCCTTATAGACCTACATCTCTAAAATGGAAGCACCATGAACTGCAGGACTTAGACTGCAAATGATTAGCTCATTGGGATGCTAGAAACATGCCAGCAGAGATTTAATTGTGCAAATGCTTTTGTGAGGAGAGGAGAAAATAGCCCCCTTAAAAAATTGGAGCCTTAGCTTGTGCCTCACAGGAGATCAAAGTAAAAAGTTTTTTAGCAACTACCTGGTGCTGAGCAAATAAATCAACATAAAAATGGACTCAGTGAAAATCTTGGAATGTGTCATTGAAACCAATGCACCTGACAATACTTCTACAACCCAGAAGGTACAAGACACTGAAAGATTAAAAAAAAAAAAAGTGTGTTAAGGAAGATAAACTTGAATACAAAATAGTAAACTGCATAGAACATAATCCTCCATGAGGCTGATAATTATTGCCCCAATGAAAAAACAATACGAAAACTATGGAAAAGAGATAAGCGATGTGGTGCTAAAAAGAGAAGATCCAATTAAGCTAAACAGGCATTGGGGGAGGGGTGAATATGAACGAGTCATGTTAAAGGAGTCAGAATCAAAGAGAGGTACGGATCCTCAGAACATGAGCCCCAAGTAGATTAAAAGAAAACCACAGTGCAGTGAAACAGCACTGAAATAAATCCTCAACCTCTTGAAAGCAGTTCAGTGACTATTTCAAAAGACAGCCTAAGGAACTTCTGGCTATTGATGACTGCTGGAATGGAGAAAGACAGTGTCCTATAGGGATGGGACTCCCAGTGGTTGGACCCACACTGAAGGGCATTTAGAGACAGAAATCAGACTCTGTAGGCCATATTATCTATATAAGAGAGTATATTAAATTGAGCGAGGTGCGGTGGCAGGAGTTGCGGATAGGGAAAGGAATCTGAATATCATCAAACTATATTGTATGAAAATCATAAAAATGCAATTTAAATAAATTCAAAATGAAAAAATGACAGCTTTAGATTAAAATGATCTTAATATCTCCAAATGCTGAGAATTTTAAATGTCAGCTTAGAATTATATATTAAATAAAAATATTATTCAAATGGGAGTGAATTAAATATGTTTTCAGAAAAACATGGAAAATAATCCTTTGTTATGCTAATTACTAAAGAATCTGTATAAAGATTGGATACAAGTCACTGATAAATATACAGATATATCTAAAAAATACTGAATAATACAATGTAGGCAGTGTGTGCTTCACAGACTTTTAGAGTTTTGTAGGCAAGAAAATTTCCAAAAATTAGCAGAATAAGATGGGGTTCCAAGTGAAAAAGAGTAAAACTTAAGAAATAATGATGGTCCATTAAAATGAAAAAAAAAAACAGTGTCATGGAAAATTCTGACCATATTAAAATTATTCATCCAATTTTGTCAGAGAAATTTAAATATATCATAGAGCAGTACCAATGTGACTATACCCTGTTTTGTTTCCGAGTCCTATGGATTCTAACTGATAATACTATATGTTCATTGCACTAACATTATTTCTGTTATGTAGTAGATTCTCAATATTTTCAAATGAGAAGGGAATATTGCTGTCACTATTGCATTGTCAAGGCTGGGTGTAGTGGTGTAATCTCAGCATTCTGGAGGCAGAGGAAAGTGGATCTGTTCAAGGCCAGCCTGGTCTTCACAGTAATTTCCAAGCTAGTCGGGGCTACATGGTAAGACCCTGTCTCAAAAATAAATGAAAATAACAAATACAAACAAACAAACAACATTAGCGAAAGCTTTTGAATTGCCAGGCCATCATCCAACTTGGTTGAAGCTGACTCCATGAACTTCAAGATTTCATTTCAGATTATCACTTTCATGCACTGTCATTTAACAGAAATATTTCTTAGAGGAGCCACTGGTAACTTCTCTCCCCTTCCTTAAAATCAAGGATCAGTACAGAGAATCTTCTCAGACTAGAAATGTTGCTTTCAGTCTGTCAGGTAAACTTGGTTTTGATAAAATGCTGTTGTTTATAGCATTTTCAGTTTTATAGCCATCTTCTCTCCTTGTTATAATTTTTCATTTCCTGCCTCAGAACAGGATATAGGTTAACATAGTATTTTATATTGTTAATATTAGGAAAGTATTACAATTCTCATGTTCTTTCTACTCGGAGGTAGAGGCAGGCAGATCACTGTGAGATTGAGGCCAGCCTGGTCTACATAGTGAGTTCCTGGTCAGCTGGGGCTACAGGGAGACCCTGTCTCATAAAACAAAACAAAACAAAATTTATCTGAATATTCTATAGGGAGTGATTTATGTGGCCACACTTCTTTAGTAATTGTTAAATCTGTACTATTTTTTATTCTGGAGCACAAAAACATATTCTTACATATTATTCTTTTCCTCTACTCTTCGATAATAATAAAATTTCTGTTGACTATTATGAAAAGATCCTAATCAATATTAAATGCTAAGATATACGTTATGCACTGAAATAAGAATTAGACAAATGTTTCAGTGAGCCATCAATTGAGTAACCTATGCTCTGTAAGAACTTCCTCTGAAATCCCTTCTCCTGTACTTGTACTGCAGCAAAAAATGCAGAATGGTTATGCATGTGCTTTCTGCAAGAAGTGGACATGCTTTCAATCTCTATTCTGATCAACTTGCCCTTGCCTTCTTTCCTAGGAAGTGTGTAGAGAGCTCTGGTGTCTCAGCAAAAGCAACCGCTGTGTCACCAACAGTATTCCAGCAGCCGAGGGGACACTGTGTCAGACCGGGAATATTGATAAGGGGGTAAGCTCCAGTCATTTGCCAATCATTTGTCTTATAGAATAACTGCTCAGTTTCTGATGCTGGTGTTCAACCACTGGAAATCTTTTATATTAATATAAAATGCACTTAGAAATAGTATTTCTAGTCCAGTGATGATTGTCAAATCTTTATAGCTACAAATATGCATTACTTATGAAATTATAAGGAGTAACTTTTCTGTGTCAATTTCATTTATGTTGGTATATGAATGAGTTATATTTGTACAAAGATAACCTCAACAACAATCTTAAAATCATATAATATAGTCTGTTTAATATATAATCTAGTTCTCTTTGGGTAAATAATTCCTAGAACAATGATATAATCAAAAATAGGCTGTATACTCTAAATCATCTTTAAATTACAGTATAGGAGAACACCAGTGGAAGAAAAATGAAACAATTTACTGAATATGGAGATTTGGGTTAGATAATCTTAGTTTTCATTGATCCAATTTTCAAAATTTTCTATAAGAGTTGTTTAAACAGGGTTGGGAATATAGCTGAATGATAAAGCATTTTCCAAACATGTATAAGACCCTGTGCCCAGTCCTTAGTACCGCAGGAAAAAAAAGAGGAGGAACTGTTCAAACCTATAAAAAGGTTTGTAACTATTACCTGTTGTCTCTTCTCAGCTGTGACTTCTTCCATCTGAGCTGGGCTACTCTTAACAAAGACCACACTGAATTTCAGCTTGCAGTGGGGTATTCAAATAAAAAGAATGAGAGCTTTTGGGCAGCTGTCAGAGTTTATTATTCTTGCTGACGGCTTCATTCAAGACCCATGACCTAGTGCCATGTTGATGGCTTTTCCATGCTGAGGTTGGAAATGTTGGTAAATTATGCTAAATAGAAGAATTGATAGGGTTATTTTAAAAGGATTAAGGATTTTTTTTTCAGATTTCTGGAGTAGCCAGTAAAAATACAGAAACCTTCATGCGATACCAAAAATTTTCCTTTTTTTCACTGAAGTAATAGAAAATATTAGGAACCACATTCTTGAAACAACAGTCTAGGTTTATTTTGGAACCACCAGTTCTTGTCAAGGACAAGTAGCAATTTACATAATCTAAAGAAATATACAAGTGAAGGAGCAAAGTCACAGTGAGATTCTGTTGCTTTATTTGCCAACCATTGCTTACTTATTCTTCTCACAGTCTGGTCCCCAAGTCACAATTTCTATTTCCTAGAATAGTACTATCACTAGTCCTGATGCTTTTTATTTTACTTTATTTTTTCTTAAGAAAAAGCAGACATTTTTTTCTTCAAGTGTTTTAAGTTCTGGGAATGTAACTCAATGGTAGAATATTTGCCTAGACTGTTTAAGGCCTTGGGTTTGACCTCCAGTGCTACAAAACAGGGCAGAGAGTAAACATCTCAGAGCCTTTCTAGAAGCATTCTCTAAATAATATAATTACTCCAAATATTAATTTTTATACTATGTAGGAACACATTACCCAAATTCACAAATCATTTATGTGACATACATGTATTTACTATCTTGTCATTTGTGCTTAATAGATGGTCCTCAGATGTTATATCATAGAACTATATGCATAAATGTGATAAAGACAATATCTCTTGGAAATTACAGTCTTGAGGATACTCAGAAAACAATCTCAATGTAAAGCTGATAATATTGAATTTAAATTTAGATAAGGAATATGGGGGAGGGGGGCTAGAGAGATGACTCAGGGGTTAAGAGCACTGGCTGCTCTTGCAGAGGACCTGAGTTCAATTCCCAGCACCCACATGGCAGCTAGCAAGCATCCACAGCTCCAGGTCCAGGGGATCCGACACCCTCTTCTGACTTCTGCAGGTATTGCATGATGCAGGTACACTTACATGCATGGAGACAATACACTCACACATAAAATAAAAGTAATAAATAAAATATTAAAAAGGAAATAAAGGGCAAATATATTTATTCCTAAACATGAATAAAATGAAGCAGAGATAACACTAACAAAATAGGACAGAAATTTGTTTGATTATTAAAGACACATTCTTAATCTATATTAATTTTAGTAAACTTTTGATCCCTTAACCCTTTCTTCAAATGAAGCCTATACAATTTTAGTTTATGTGTTTGGAAAACTAATAATTCTCTGTCTTAACAAGCCCTTAGCTTGCCCTTACCCTGTATTGGGGCCTTTGCTAATTTTTGACATACCTTCAAGCAACTTGGACTCTATGAAGAACTACTTAAGAACCTTGTACATGTAGCAATGTTTGTGTGTTCAGATGCCTTTTTTTTTCACTACACAATACACTATTATAAGGTCAATGTGTGGGTAGTCATCATCTAAAATTAATCTACCAAGCAAATCTTAGTCGTTCTCCTAGAATCATGAGAGATAGTTTTAGGATCGGTATTACCAAGCTTTAAAAGAAATGAAACTATATAAAATAAAAACCAAATGCAGGTTTCTGGATGGACAATAATTGAAGAAAACAATTTAGGAGACTCTCAAAGTATCAATAAAAAATTTTAATTTGCAAGCCAGGAGTGGTGGTGCATGCCTTTAGTCCCAGCACTTGGGAAGCAGAGGCAGGCAGATCTCTGAGTTCAAGGCCAGCCTGGTCTACAAAGTGAGTTCCAGGCCAAATGAGGCTACAGGGAGACCCTGTCTCAAAAAGACCAAAAAAATTTTTAAAAAAAATTTGCACATGGCAGTGATTTCAGCCATTTGGTTGGCTAAGGCATAGGAATCATGGATTCTAGGCTAGCCTAGACAATTTAGTGAAGTGGGGGGCATGCTGAGGACCTAGCTCATTGGTAGAATGCTTTGCCTGACAAGTCTGGTTCAACTGCCAGTTGGGTGCACATGTTTGGGTGAAAGCATGCACACACACACACACACACACACACACACGCACGCACGCACGCATGCACACAAGAACAGGTTTGAACTTATGAAGATATTAGGGAACGAAATCAAATTGCATTTCAAAGAAAAATACAAAGCAAAGAACTAGACAGATGAACTGAGCATTTATTATTTATTGACTATATTTACAGTTTATCACCTTATGAATTTCTGTTTATTTATTTATTTGAGGCAGGGTCTCCTAGTAGCCCCAGTTGGTCTGGCCTGGAATGCACAAAGGTGGCCTCAATCTCACAGAGATCCACCTGTCTCTGCCTCCCCAGTGCTGGGATTAAAGGCATGTGCCACCATAGCCAGCTATTTTTAAGAAAGATGCATGTTACTGTGGTCAAATACAGTCTTTACCTTCAGGCAAGGAACTTTACTTGGGCATGGCATCAGATCTATGTCTATTTGGAAATTAAATGAGAACTCAAACTTTTGACTGAAAGTAAAACAGCCACATCAAGTGATAGAGACAGAATTAAAGTGGAAATTTCAATTGACCTGATCAACCTTGTTAGTCTAAACTTGCATAAAAATAATTGACATTTTCAATAATGCTTATGGCAATGCTAATATTTTTAAAGTACTTACACTATGCAATGCGTGTTGCCATTTTCTCTTGAATGTTAATAAACCTTGATGAAACAGGTATTATTTTGATTCTCTCTTACAGGCAAAGAAAGTACTTTACACAGCAGTTCAATGCTGTAACTGAGACTCCATCAGATCTTTCTTATTCTATAGTTGAAATTTTTTGCCTATCATTTTACTCTATCTTCTCATGAAGAATTTTGCATAGGAAAAACTAGTATTTCATTGTTACATAAATAAACCATTAAGCATGAGTTAGACAGTGACAATTTATTCTATTATACTAAGTAGATTTTTTATTCATCTACCTGTAACACTGAAATCACAACAAGAAATCAATGTAGTAGAACACTGAGCTATATGAAATATATGAAAATTGATGAAATTATGGAATCTTAAAATAAGAGAAAACCAATTTCTGCATATTTCATTGTGATATTGTGAGGATGGAATGAGTTAACATCTTAGTGGTTTTTTATTTGCCGTCCTTAGACAATAATGGGCAAAGAACTCTATCAGACTGTCGTAACTGGCATCAGTGAGTACCAGACAGCGTAAGAATGGGTTTATGTGCTTCAGAGACATGAATGGAATATCCACCAACTGTGATCCTAGTTTTTTGTTTCAAAATTCACACTCATCAAAAAGAACAAGAAGGGACCTATAGCCCATCTAGGCAGCTGAGCCAGCAGGATAAAACTAAAGCTGCACATAGTTTTCTGAATAAATCTTTTTTTAAAGGGAGGAGTTAGAAATATCATTTGAGTGATAGCATAGACATATCCAGAGGATTGAATCCATGATGATCTCGTCAAACCTTGGCTGCAAAAGATGTGGGATCCTTGCCCTGGGGCGCAGTTCCACAAATGTTCCACAACTGTTCCATGTACATTTAGCAGATGGAGTAAGAAATATGGCCAAAAAATTAAAAACTGATCTTTGCATGAGTCCTGGGGGGTCTGACATTGCTATTACAGCCATTGGAAGTTTGCCTGAATAAGCCATTCAAGGACTGAATAAGAACCATATGGTCTGAATGGATGTGCTCAGGGACAGTAGCATTAACCAAAGGAGGAAATTTGATGAGCCCAGACGGTGCACTGGTACTGTGTGTCCATGGGTCACTCTCCTATAAATCAATCAATATAACTTCCAGGCAAAGAAATTTACTTGGGCATAGAATCAGCAATAGCCCTTTGGGCAAGAATCAGAGGGATGATGAATTTGATGAAATAGTAAATAAGGATTTAGGATATAAAAACTTAAGTGGTAATGTTGGCATTGTTACTGAGCAGGATATTAAGGATAATCAAAACCCAATCCTTGTAATCCCTGTTGGTGACCACAAAGAAAGTTTCAAATAGTTGGTTTATTGCCAAAAGATTGATTTAATGATTCCATAAGACTCAATTGGACATATCAGCTAGTATCTGGGCTTACATATAAGTGACATTGATCCCTAATATCTTTGCATGGAAAAATAAGGCTGGATTAGAAAAGGATCATTGTATGCCTTT